TGATTTTTTTTTCAGTGTATTTGCAACCGTCAGGGTATGTGATTGTAATGTTACATATTACGATTGTTGCATAACATTTTGGTTAATGTTACGTTACAGTTATGTTTCACTTTCATAACGGCAATGTAACATTGTAATCGATTGGAAAGTGACATAACAACAATATAAAAATTATAATGCATTTATGTAACTACAAGGTAACATTGTTATGTACCTAACAATGTTACTTAAAAAAGCGGGAAATAGGAACCTATTTGCAACTGTCAGATAATGTAACTGTAATGTTCCATATTACGATTGTTGCATTTTGGTTAATTTTACGTTACACACTGTTAAAAATAGGGTTAAAATTACATTACTATACACGAAAAAAATACAATATTTTTAAAGGAAAATTACCTTATGAACTGACGTACATTTATATTTAATGGTATTTTACATAATTAGAGTATTTTTAGTGAACAATAAGGTAAACATTTTGTTATATAGTGAAAAATTACATTAAAAAATGTAAAATTACAGTAAAAATTGTAAAATCACTATCTTATATGTAAAATTGACGACATTTCGGAAAATCCCTTTTAAATTAATGTACTTTTCCGTTAAATCTTATAAATTTACCACACGCTACAGTAACTTTACATCCCCGCGTGTCCCTCCGAGTTCGCTTCGCTGTTCGTCCCTGATCTGGTGACGCCGCGCCAACATTTATTCGCTTTATCGCTTTGCTAGGTTATGTTTTGTATTATAAAAGTTTAAAATCAGTGGTTTGTTTTAAATACTTTTAAATCTTGCATTTTTTATAACCGCGAATCGCGTAATTATTGTTTTTAGTACTGTTCAGTGTAGTAAGTTGTTTTGTGAGGTGTTATACCTTAGACTAAAGTCTATGTTCTGTGGTCTATAGATAGCGTGGGTTTTTTGTTTTTTTTCAAAAAATAAAATTAAAAACCTATACTAGAATTTATTTGAAACAAGATGCACTTATTTAAATTAAAAAATATGAAGAAAAACTTAGGTGGTACCTGAAGCAATACTCTTTTTGGGGTGGGCAGTAAATGTGATAAATAGGGATGGGATTTCAGTTATTTTACCTTCTTTAACCGATGTAACTATTTGAAAACCAATAATGCCAAAATGTGTTTTAAAAGATTTTCTTTTATAAATATGAACCCAACTTGTTTTTTACCTTTTTTGGAGGTTTTTGCTTTAAACTACCTTTTTTATACTTTTGTTACCCATTTATTTAACTTGTTTTCACCTTTTTTACCTTTTTTGGAGGTTTTTGCTTTAAACTACCTTTTTATACTTTTGTTACATATTTTTTAATTTGTCAGTTTATTTTCACCCATTTGTTACCTATTTTTACGTATTTTATACTTATACTTTTTTTGTGTTTTTTTTTTAATTTTGCGCCAATATTTTATCCAGGGCGTGCAACACATCGGTAAAGAATTTTTTCTTATGGTCACAGACTATAACAGTAACTTTCTTTACAGTTACCTTCTTTGTAGTGAGCTTATGTTCTGTCATAGAACTTCTGTGTAGTGAGTGTCACTCAGTGAAACATAGTTTATTGCATAGAAATATTTTATTGTGGGTATGTTCTGTATTTGGTTATGCGGCTAAACAAAATTATAAATAAAACTTAAACTATTAATGTTTTTTTTACCTAAAATGCTGTTTTTTTAACCTTAAATGCTTTTTTTTAGTAAGGTAAGGTGGGGTAATTGTAAGATTGGGGTAAATGTAATATCTTGCAATAAAATTCTTACTTAAAGTAGTAAATAAAAGCAAACGAATAAAAACGCACGATGTTGTCTTGGGTTGCATATCTAAGTAGAGAAATCCCGACAACTACTGCGCAGTACCACTTGGTTACTTAAGTACATAATAATAAATCGTTTTTTCCTTTTTGTATTAACCGCGAAGTCTGTTAATTCTTAAATTAAAAATAAAAAAAAATTTGCACACCTTATGATTATTAACGGATTCACACGATTTTACACCAAAATAATCCTATTTTTTTCCTCTTTTACATTAGCCCCATACCCACTACAAATGCAGTGTAATGTAATTAGCCGCTAACACATTTGCCCCATTTTTTGGGGCAAATGCAATATGTTAGGAACGTTTAAAAAAAAAATATGTAATTTTTTAGCCCTTAGTTCCTAACGTTTTATACTTTAGAATATAATTCTTGAGTAGTTGGGCTATATAATGAGCTTTGGGTTTGGTTTAGTTTTATCACTCCTTACTTTTAATTCAAGAGACAATCCCAACTAGTAAAAAAACATATCGCAATTACCCCACCTTACCTTACCTTTTTAGTTACCTATTTTTCAGTTTTTAGTACCTAAATATCATCTCTAGTGATAAATTGAAAAAAAATCAGTAAATATTGACTAAAAAATACATAAAGTTATTTGTAATTTTACATTAAATTACATAAAAAAACTATATTATTATTACAATAAATAACTAGTAAAAATACATAAGGTTTATTGAAGACGTTATTTACTCGAAATGTTTATTGATTATACTTAAATAATACAGTAAAAATACACAATGAAAAGTGTAGTTTTCCGACTAACGTTCGTAATTTTACTTTAAGGTTTAGTTACATTTACCTATGTACTAACGTAATAATCCAGATTATTTTCTGCAAAAATTCCAAAATTTTAACGTAATTCTCATGTGTAATTTTACGATTTTCTGTATAATTTTTTGGCACGTTTATGTAAAAATACAATGTTACCCGGAAGTAACCATTTTAAAAAATTAAAAAATATTTTAAATGTTTTTAAATATTTTTGAATATCCAGTATGGATATCCATTAGATTTCCAATGTAAAAGGCATGGATGTTGTATGGATATTGGGATATCCATTGGATGTCATGTTCTGTGTGGGATGGTTACCATTATATACCAAAAAAACTTAAATAATGTCAATAGTATGCATGCATGCAATATGAGTAGAATAATATTATTATAAACGCTAAAATGCTTCAAAAGTGATCCTTTCTAAAATTCTGAAATATAGGGTGTTGCATATTTAAATTTATTTATAAAATTTTATTTATAATATACCTAGCTAAAAAGCATTTTTGTCAAATGTTTTTAAAAATAAAATCGCTATGATCTCTGGAAGTACAAAATTAATGCTATAATTAATAAGGACATATTTACTAACAAAATATATTAAATATTAAAATAACAAAATAATAAAAAATATTTTGTTATTTTTTTTGCCCTTTGCATATATTTTTTACCTAAAAAATTAATATTTTTGCACTTACCAAGTTAATTAAAAAAACACTCCATTATATTATATATTATATTATGCCAATTTGTTAATATAAGCTTGGGCTAAAGAAATAAAATGTGTGTAGGCTCTTTAACAAACAAATTCCATATTTTTTTATATACATCTAATAACAAAAATAGGATTTGTTTTGGAAATTTTAAAAATAAATTTTAAAAATAGAGAATTAAACCTTCTAAACGAGTACAAATATTTTAAATATTTTTACGTTTCATTGTCAACATCTAAATCGCTCAAAAATATGACGAAGTAACTTTTGTTGAGCTTTAAGTTAAAGCCTTTAACACCTCTACAAATCTGTACCTACTATTAAATAGGTGCATATGTACAGTGCACTGGCGGACTCGGAATTTTGAAAGAATATCATCCCGTTGACATCAAAATCTAAACTTCCTTTATGTACAACTAACGTTACTTTCGGTTATCTGGTCTTGTCATTTTGACAGCGAAAGCAGAAATTGCCAATATTGTATCTTTTGTATTTACAGATTTATATACCTACATATGGACATACATATGGGTGAATATATTGAGATGTCCCCCAAGTGAAAATGATTATTTTTTATTTTTGGTTGTTTCACTGTTAGTCTAGAATAGGGTTTTTGGGAAGCCACCAGGTCTAGTAATAACATAACATAAATGGTACTGCACTAATGCAAGAATTTTAAGAAATCATACATTTTAAAAATTAGAGCTTCACGGAGGTTAGGATTTAGTATGTTTTTTTAAACACCACTTTGTATATTTGAAATAAGTTATTTATCTTTTGATAGCTTAATATTTTTAAAAAATACAATTGTACAATGTACAATGTACAATGTACAATGTACATACATAAAATATTTATAAAAAAATCTACTTACTGAGATATTACACTTCACGGTGGATAGGTTTTTAAATAGCAAATTAATGAACTTAAACTTTTGAATTATAAAACAGCAACACTCTCATCTGCATATAAATTCTAACTGAACTTCAGGAATCACATGCATGTATAATGTCGTAAACAGAGGTTTTTGCTTATTTAAAATGATAAAAGCGCCATCCGTTGCATAAAGTTTAAAGCAAAAACAGATTCACGGAGGATAGAATCAATTTTTGTAACACCTACATAAATGGTCATAAAAATAATTTCTTTTAATTTTTAATAATATTTTATATTTGATTCGATTGCTTTGGATATGTTCAATTTACTTAGTGAGATGATATTTTTAGTATGCTTTTACTACATCAGATATTTGAAAACATATAGGTTAACCTAGAAAGAGTAACCGTCACGGAGGATAGGTATTAGACTTTTAAAATCTGGAACCTGAGCTGTAATATCTACTTAATTATGAAAGACCAAAACACAATAAAAATGTAGGTCAAACACATTTAGTTTTATTAAATATCACGGGGTAACACCATCGGAGATTCACCCATATATGTCCAATATATGTCCGCCACTGTACCTATGTTTAAACCAAATTAATTATGTTTACCCTAATAATGGATGTTTACATTTTTATTCAAATTCCTTTTTTATTTTTGTACTGTTTAACATTAGTCATCGGGCATCGTTTCAGCATTTTGCGACTAAAAATATTGAAAGGAATGTGAATGTTTACGCAAATATTTTAACTGGAATGTTGTTTCCAAGCGCATGTCTGCTTTTATTTTAATCTTAGCACAGGTAAACAGATTTTGTGTACATGACTCAGTCGTAGCACACTTATTCAGACTTTCACATGAAATTTGAATCAATAAACAACTTACTCTTAAAATAAAATGGAACAAACTTTATTTGACCAAACGACAACATTTAATGAACTATTTTCTAATAAAGTTCCAGAAACCCAAATTAATTCTAGGTAAGTTTTTTACAACATAATATTTATGCTTGTATTTTAATACATATATATTTTACAATAATAATAAACTCTTTTAAAATTATTTTATTTTATTATAAACATTTTAAACTATGGGGCAATTTAATTGTATTGTAGAGAGAATAATATTAGGATTTAAAAAAAATTATATAATAAAATAAATTAAGTTACTAATTTACTAAGTAGATATAGAATTTTTTTTAAACTAATTGCATTGCCATTATAATATTAACAGAATAGTATTTTTCTAAAGGTATTCATACAATTTGCTTTAAAAACCTTGCCAAAGTTTTAAACCAATCGATGAAATATTTTAGGCATATTAAAAATTCTTACTTAATTAAATAACAATATACAGGGTGTAACAAGTTTTAAAAATTGTTTTTAATATTTTCAAATTATTCATTAAAAATAAATATCTGATAAGAAAAAAAATAAAAATTGCTAAAAATATTGATCGTACATAATTTTTTATAAAAGGTTTCTCTTACATTATTATTTATTTTGTTTTTCACCATTACTCATATTAAATGTGAATTATTTTATTTTATAATATATATACGAGGTGTGTTCAGAAAATAACGGGAATTTTCGTTTTTTGAAAAAAGTATTTATTTATTCGCCTACATTAAAGTTGTCGCCTTCAAAATAGTCCCCATTAGATATTATGCACTTGTGCCAGAGCTTCTTCTAATCCTCTAAAATATTCTCAAACACGATCTTTGGGATAGTTTTTAGTTCTTTCAGCGATGCGCTTTTAATGTCATTTATGCTTGCCAAACGACGGCCCTTTAAGGTTCTCTTTATTTTGGGGAATAGGATAAAGTCAGACGGAGCCATGTCTGGCGAATATGTAGGCTGGGGCATCATTACAGTATTGTTTTTGGCAAGAAATTGTGTTTAAAATTCAACAATTTTGGAACAAATTTTGCTGCCACGCGTTTCATACCCAAAACATTCGAAAAAATTTCATCGATATGCCAACATCATCAGCGACTTCTCTGATTGTGATTCGGTGATCGTTCATAACCATTTCTTACACTTTTTCCATGTTTTTATCGGTTGTTAATGTGTTTGGGCGTCCGGGGCGTTCGTCATCTTCAACGTCTTTACGGTACTCTTGAAAACTCATATATCACTTATAAACTCTTGTTTTACTCATAGCAGACTCACCATAGGCCTTTCTTAATATTTCACACACTTTATTTTATTTTTACCCAAAATTTGATACAAATTCTTTGATTTATTTTTTTTAACGAACGAAAATCGCCGAGCTCATAAAAACACGTCTAACCTTAGCGGCTGCCACAGACAAAGTAAACAATGAAATCATTTAAAAATTTTATCATTCTTGTTTTTTGACAAGCGGACTCTCCAAACCTGCGAAATTTAAAAATTCCCGTTATTTTCTCACACACCTCGTATCCCTTATAAATAACGCAATAACTATTGCTTCGAGAAAAAAACTTAAAAATAACTTTTTCTATTACATGATTTGGCCCCTGGATACCTTTACAATTAACATTTACTTAAATCCCACTAGAAGTGGCTCAAGTTTATGTGTTTTGAGACAAACAACTTCCATGTATAAAAAGTCTCAAAATATACACAAAATATAATGTTTTTAAAAGATAACTAAATTTCTTTTGAATCTATATGATCTTGAAGTTTTTAAAACAAAAATTGTTATTTATAAATTTTTAGGTATTTATAGTCACTTATAGTTTGTGTATTGTATATCTGTGACTTGTCCTATACATAATATATATGTCCATTGGATTAATACATTATTACTATTAAATACTATTTATTATACAATAATTTTGTTAAGTATTGAAGATAATGATGTAATAATTATTATTTATAAACTATATACCTGAGGGGAATTTAAGCCCGCGTTCCGTTCCTACCCCTAACCCGCTCAAGCAATTCAGTTGGCTTCTGGGACTTCTTAGGATGTAAGGGTGGAACTAAAAGAGCACTTTTGATATATACAGTGCGCATGTTTTCTTTTGAACGAAAAAAGGTATCGGCATCGGACAGAAACCATTTATAGGTGTCTATTTAAGGGGTGCCAAGAGGGTAGTACCTTATTTGAAAGTCATTTTGATTCTCTATTCAACGCATATCTAAAATATAAAATCTGTTCAATAGTTGCTAAGTTATTAAACGTTTAAATATAATTATTAAATCAAATTTTTGTTTTTATTTATGAAGTACAAGGTTTTTATTTATTAAGTACAATAAATTTCCAAATTTATCAAATTAGTTGTTTTAAATGCTCCCTTTAGACATTTTGACACAAAAATAATCTGTTTCTATATTTACGAGGTGTGTTCAGAAAATATCGGAAATTTTCGTTTTTTGAAACAAATATTTATTTATTCGACTACATTAATGTTGTCGCCTTCAAAATAGTCCCCATTGGATATTATGCACATGCAAATTTTGCTGCCACGCGTTTTATACCCAAAATATTCGAAAAAATTTCATGGGATGAGCCAATCGATATACCAACATCATCAGCGACTTCTCTGATGGTTTATAACCATTTCTTCCACTTTTTCCATGTTTTTATCGTTTGTTAATGTGCTTGTGCGTTCGGGGCGTTCGTCATCTTCAACGTCTTCACAGCCATCTTGGAAACTCTTATACCACTTGTAAACTCTTGTTTTACTTATAGCAGACTTACTATAGGCCTTTGTTAATATTTCACAGAATTTATTTAATTTTTTAAGCAAAATTGGGTACAAATTCTTTGATCCATTTCTTTTAACGAACGAAAATCGCCGAGCTCATAAAACACGTCTAACCGTAGTGGCTGCCACAGACAAAGTAAACAATGAAAACAGCTAGTTTTTATCATACTTCGGGCGCATGTATACCAACATAATAAAGAAAATTGTATGACAACCGGACCCTCCGAACCCGCGAAATTTAACAATTCCCGATATTTTCTGAACACACCTCGTAGTTCTCACATTTGCAAATGTTTCTTTTGTAATATTCGCATGTAGATTCACCTTTTTTCGTTCAAACGATAACAATCGGGGACTTTTAACGTGCACACTTTATTAAACTTTAAATTTATTTTTAGTGAATTTCCCTTAATCATTGAAGAAAACCAACTTATCAGTAATTTATCACGGTTGACAGAAAACCTAATTTTAACCTCTGCATCGGCGGTCAATCCTGTTATTCTAAGGGCACTTAATATTAAATGTATTATAAATATTGCACCAGAACTTCCAGATCCTCAGTATGACGCCGACAATATAATTTATCACAAAATTCCCATTTTGGATTCCGGAATCTCAAGAATACTGCCTTTCTTTCACGAGGTTGCAGATTTGATAAACGAAGTAAGTAAATGTTTCTCTAGAAGTTTATAATGTTATCATTGATGTATTTTTAGGTAGCTTCTTCTAATGGACAAACTTTGGTTTATTGTGTCGCAGGTGTTAGTCGATCAGCTAGTATTTGCATTTCTTATCTTATGAAATATCATCAATTGTCGTTACTGGAAGCTTACAATTATGTAAAAATAAAAAGACCCAGGATTAAGCCAAATTGTGGTTTTTTTAAACAACTTATCGAGTATGAAAAACAGTTATATTGTTGTAATACAGTTGTAATGGTATTTAATGAGTTTGTAAAAATGTCAATACCTAATGTTTACGACAGTGAATATAGATTTATTAATAATTTAACCAAAAAAAGGATAATTCCCCGAAATAAGAGATAATAATACAAATACCTGAAAATGTTTGGAATTTTTATTCTTATTTTCAGTTTATAATTATAATATAATTATAACTTATGTTCATTGATTGAATTCTTTAATAATAACACAACTAATGTGACGCGAGAGAGAGAATATACCAATACGCGTCCAAGAATCAATTTTATTTTTGTGCATTTTATATCGCACCCGCTCTAATTTGCAGAAGTATTTTGATATTTAATTTAAATATATGTATATATATATGTTTCACTTGTGAGAAAAGCTTTCTTCAAGCTCGTGTTAATGCAAACTCGGCCTGACGGCCTCGTAAGCAACTTTAACACTGAAAATGTCATTTTTCAGCACTTGTAAAACAAATAGATATTTTAAATCTCAGATCGCGTCACATATACAGGGTGCGGCATAAGTCAGGTTACCGATTTGCAATCCGAAATAAATTAAAGTAGATAGATAGATATTATGTTCCTAGTTCTCTTGGCCGCCTTTGGTGGCTTCACTGGCTATTATAAAATAGCACGTGACGTCACAATTTGGATTTAGAAGAAGTTTGCGCAATCGCTATTTCTGACAGCGTAACCTTACGTATGCACCCTGTAGATACTTCTAAGAAATATTTTTAATTTTAATTTAAAAAAAATAATCAATTAATCATGATTAAGAAACAGAGCCCTAATTTAGTTTAAAATAAGTAAGCCATTCCAAAATCAACCCAAACATTACAATGTATTTAAAAGAAAGGCGTTATCAATAAGACAATGTTAAAATGTACAAATATATTGTAAATATTATCCCTCTTGCAAGAGGACGAAAATAATGCCTTTCTTACTCGCACTCTATGGCTGTTTCGCATTTAGTTTAGTTTAACATGACTGATTAACAAATAGCCCTTTAAAAATTATGACATGTTATCTAATATTTAGATACCAATGTTTTTTTATATATACAATACTTAAAATAGTCAGAATAGTTACAATGTAACATTTTTATACGTTATTTATTAATTATAATAGGGGACCAACAATATTTAAATATTTAGAACTAAATAATGTGTTTTATTTTTACATACCAGGTGTCTCCAAATATGGAACCCCCATTCTGGACGCAAACTCATCCAAAGTTGCCAACTTACGTACTAGACCACGTATACCGTAAACCTGTTCTGGTCTATGGTACCTATACATATAGTTTAGGGCCTATACGATATACGCAAACTATAGGTTATATTAGGAGTTACCAAACTTTTTTACTTCGCGGCGCGCTTTAAGAATTAATAATAATACTAATAATTAGTTTAAATAATTGTATTTGACAATAAGCATGAAAAAACCCCGGAGCAACAGGCAATCGTGGCAACACATTAAGCATATAGCAAATATAAGGACACATGGCCCACGTGACAGGGACCCCAGCTTGATGGGAGCCTCCAAAAAATGTTTACTTTAGCTAAATTCTTTATCTTTTACAGAGTATTTTCCAAAATTATTATTTTTTATATATATATTGCTCCAATTACATCGACCTTCAGTATTGCACCAAATCATATTTCTTACCTGTAATATACATGGTGCTGCAAAAAAATTCTGAGGTCCTTCATTTAAGAGTTACAGGGTGATTCATGTATTTTATTAAAAATTTAAAAAAATCATATCTTAAAAATGTATAAATAGAATAGCATAAAATTTGATATACAGATTTCAGTATACATTAAATATTAGCAAAGTGCCCCATCGGTCATTTTTTAAAAATCAGAGCTGAGGTGTGAGAATATGTGTTTTTCTAAAATCTAGTCAGGTTCTAAAAAGAGCATAAAAAGTTCTACCAAAATGGCTTTTAAAATTTAACAGCACCATCAAAGCGTTTAAAAAAAATAATTAAAATATTAATTTAAGTTTATTTTTCTTCGACTAAATATTCCAATAGTTCAGATACCCCCTCGTTTCAATGCCGAAAAAGTGGTGGGCTTCGTAATGTCATCCAAAAATATCAAAATATAGGGGAAGGTGTTGTACCTTTGGACAAAGCAAATATTTTCGCCATCTATGATTTCAGACAAAAACTTTTGGAGTACAGTTACGACTTCATTAAAACGGTTGGCCCTCAGTTGGTTCTAAAATTTACTGTGCGTATAGCGTCAATTATTAAACATTTTATAGTTTTAATGCAGGGAAATTACTTTTGTGGGTGTATAATTTAGAACTTTAGTGATAGAGGAGCTCCTTCGATGGGACTAGAATTAGGTGAGTGGATACTTCATCACATCATTAAAGGGTTTCTTGTGACGGGCATTTTCCCTTTGAATAGACATATATTTGGTGATGATGAATTTTTAAGTGCTTTTGTAACAGACCGACCAAACCCTGAGGTAGAAAATCTAACAGAAGAAGAGCTTCCAAATATTAATGAACCATCCAATCAACCTCAAAAGGTTTTAAGAGAAATAGGTGATGTTGTAACCCCTGAAATGATCAGACCCTTTCCGAAAGCAGAGCCAAGGAAGACCAAAGGAGGCCCGAAAAAAGGACGAGAATATTGAAGGATACTCCAGAGAAAACTGAGTTAACGAAAACGAAAGTTAAAGTAATCAGAAAAGTGCAACAGGAAGAAAGTTCGTACGATGACAATATGGAAATGGTAACACGGGATTCCAGTAGTGACGATGAAAATTATTTACAAAAGATGATTGAAGAATCAAATATGGAAATGGATTTGGACAAAGAAATGGAAAACACTTCATTATTGGAAGGAGACTTTGCGCTAGTTGAATTAAGAGGATACGTCTTCAGAAAATTCGTAAATGGTGTGTGTTCGAAGATAATAAGCACCTGTAGATATATTACAATCGATGTGAATGGTTCGAACCTTCATTATATTATCAGAAAAATCTGATTCGTATTTTTTAACATGGCTTTAAAGTACGCTTTAAAAATACTAATATTTTCCCCATACCATCTGCTTGTGAAAAATCTATTTCGTATTTGTCGATTTGAATTTCGCACTATAATGTATTATTGTTTGGTTAAAGTAAATAGTATTGTAAAGATTTCTCCTTACACCAGGTTCGTCAAAACAAGTTTTATAAAAAATTAATAAATGAACTATTTTGTGACTATGGCTCGTGATCGTCTTATCAAAATTTGGACACCTACGTTGTGTTTACTTACGTGTTTTATTTAATACATTGCTTTAAGAATCATACTTGGGAGACTTGGGTACACAAAAAAATAAAATACAGTGTTTAGTTTACTCCAATTTAATTTACTTTACAAACAAAAAAACACAAGGGGTGGCTCTTAGGGAGATACGACCAGGGAAAAAGAGCTTGAGAAAAAACCCTGTTCGGCTATGAAGTAGCAAAGGATTACACGATTAGGCATGGTTTCTTAAAAAGTTTATGCAAATCAAATGGAATGACACGACGCTCGTTACACTATCAACCCCTACGGGTTCAAAAAATTTAACAGGGCAGTTAACTGCTAGTCTGTCAACGTTAACGTTGCCCTGTGGAGAACGAGGTCCGCACTGGAAACAACTCCCGTAAAGATGCAGTTTCGGGATAAAAGTTGCGATGCCACCTAGAGAACCTAGGTGACCAGTTATCCCTCACGGTGGAGAGTATTTTAGTATCTACTGCAAACTACGTACTAAGAAAAAGGAGCATTCAAAGTTTAAAATTAACGGTCAATACTCCCTTTTAAGCAACGAAACGTCCTGTATTACACTGATATTTGTTTTAAAATGACCGCAAAAAATGCATAATCGTGTTGAGGGAGGGTCTAAACATTTGAGTAGTATACAACTAAATTAAGCCTAAGACAATAAAAGGAAGGAATATAAATTTTTACATTTAGCAGTAAACTTAAAAGGTAAAACCCCCTGTGGCACCGGGGACACTAAAGTAGAATTGGCCCACAGTAATACCTGCTTGTCGTAAAAGGCGACTAAAAGGTAACCCCTGGCGTCGGGATATGGCGACCCCATCGCCCAGGAACTTGTTCCTGCAGGTAGCCAACCTGATTGACGCATGCGCTCACACACGCTCTACACCAATACCTGGCATGGACGGAAGGCTTCCCCTCTCTCCTGGGGCTAACGCTACGCGACCCCGTATCGAGGTCGAGTTGGTTCGGTAGCGGTGAAATAAAGCGGGACCGCACACCCGTGCCGCCGAGTAGTACAGGGGCCCACCCTTACCTAGCTAGTACCAGGGGGCTGCCCTATCAATCGGTGTATAATCTCGTTACATGTAGTAGTTCCAGGTAGCGCCTGGGTGAGGGCCTGCTGCATGTTCCGGGGGGCTTCACTTTTTGAAAGCGGCCGACAACCTTCCTCACCGGGATCCACGTTGTGTTATGTTGGCCCTAGGAGAAGTTTTGGGAGGCCCAAAGTCCAAAGATATCTGCCCAAATAAGTGTGTGCGCGTGTGTGTTGGTCAGGTAAACAAAACAAAAAAACCAACTATGGAAGAGTACAAAGAAACAGAAGTTAGTAACGTGCAAAAAGAACGCACACCGGAGCCCCTCAGCTCCACAGTGGTGACAAGCGAGTCGTCACCACTGACAGTAGAAGAGGTAGATCTTCTCAACTCTCCTGCTGGATCACCAGAGCCGGCCAAAGCCACTGCTCTGGAGATCAAAGCCCAAAGGAGGAAGGAGAGGACTAGAGAGAAAAATAAGAGAAAGAGAATTAAGGAAAAGGAGGCTAAAAAGGAACTGAAGAGGCTACAGGAGGACCAACGTTCTCTAGTAGTATCTGACGTCCCTCAACAGGCAACCGGATCCGAGATGGCTGACCCCCAACCAAGCTGCTCAAGCCAGGTAAGGGTAAAGCCAAATCGAATTGGGGAACCTGGCAAGCTTCCAAGAGGTCCGAAAAGGAGGGAATACCTGAGAAAGGGTAAAAACGTCCCCCCATTACCATCGGCGCCGGCTAATGCAAGGAGGCAGGAAACGGGGGCTCAAACAAGAGCCCCTGGTCCAGCTTCCAGCAAAAGGCAGAGGGCGGATAAGGGGACACCTCCGGAATATAATAAAAAGAGGGCGAGGCCCTTTTCTGATGCTAGGCGGTATGTCTCCCCCTTAAAGAGAGACATTGCCGAGGCGTCGGAGAGGGGACCGAAAAGTAGAGAAAAGGTAGAAGCTCGACAGGAGGCTACTAGTCGACCAACAATCGACAAAAGTCTTCAAGTGGTCATCTTGTCGAACAGAATTGGAGGTACTGTTCTGCCAA